CAGGTAACTCCATTCCCCATTTCTCCTCCTGATTGGAATAACCTGTGAGGCCACACATTTGGCTAGCTGCTTGGGTTCAAAGGGCTAACAACACGATATCATCAGAGTGGCAAGAAGCATGCACCTCTAGCTAAAGGAAATAGAGGGGCATGGAGGCAATCAGCTATATAGAACAGTTGATTATGTATTTCTGACACCTGACAACTTTGAAACTTCTATGATCTTTTCCTTTATTGCAAGCTGTGAGGCACTGACCCTGGTAATGGGATCAGGATCAGACAGTTCTCATTAGTAGGGACCTACTAAAATTGTGATTTAGTGAATTTTGTGGAAATTGCAAAATCCAGCATTGCCCACAAAACTTGGCAATGTCTACGCAATCCATGGAAAAGAAAGAAAACTTATTGAAAATAAAATGCCTGCCAGGGGGGACGGGGAGGAGGGGCTGCCTGCATGAAGGGCAGCACAAGACAGCTGCTGACTTCACCCTGCTTAGCTGAGAGGGTTGTCTGTCATGTGGCCCTGCCCCTTTCCACCAATTGGTAATGAGGGGTGGGGCTGCATGACAGTTCTTGACCAGGGGCAGGGCTGGATGACAGACAGCCATCACAGCCAATCAGCAGTGAGGGGCAGGGCCACTGGGGGCCCCTCAGCCAATCAGAGGCATGGAGGGGGCCTGTCAAGGTCAGCCATGAATATAGCAGCCAGTCCCACAATCTCCTTGTGAAATCAGCCAGTTGCCTCCTTGAGTTAGATAGACCCCTATTTATTAGCCAGTGCTAGGAAGATACTTCCTTCAGAAATCTGGTCTCCTAAGATAACCGAGGTTGCAGCATTCAGGCAGCTGGAAAGGAAGGATCCTCAGTGATAGAAGTAAAAGCTCCTGGACATTTTAAAGAAAGATGTCGAGATAGGCCTCTTCCTCAGTGCACTGACAGCATAAACTTGTTACCGCTGTGGAAACATAAAAAGATTGTGTCCAGGAGCTAGGCCCCCATGTTGTTACCAGAAATATAAGCAGTGCTGCCAGGGTGTAAGGGACAGACTATCAGGACCTCTGACACAGAGGCTAACTGCAATCAGGAATTGCAGGCCATCCATCACCAGCAGAGTAGTGTGTGCAGAGATAGAACAAGACCTCTTAAGACCTCTTTCCCCAGAGAAGATAAGGGGTGTTACAGGCTGTAGAGCAGTTAAGGGAGATGCAAAAGAACATCAGGGACAGCCTAGCATCCTGAAGAACCCCATAGCTGGGTAAGGGCATTGAGGGCCCAGCAGATGAAGAGGGTTCAAGAGCCAGCACTAGAGGGCAAGCCCAGCAGATCATCAAAGGGCTCTCCTGAAGGCTGGTGCATAGCTGGGGTGTAGGGGAGGTGGAGCCCCAAGAATTCCCACTAGGGAGCATGACCAAGTGCAGGGGACCACCGGAAGGAGACCCACCACTGGAAGAAACACCAAAGTCGTGGCAGGAAAGTTTTGGTGTTTCCCTCAGGGAGAACACGAGGCCCCGCTGAGATCACAGGATCAAGTGCTGAGGCCAAATCCAGGTGCATGCTCCAAGGTAGCTAGGAAATGCTTCCTCAAGACCAGGTGGGCACAGGGATCTTACAGATGTACAGGCTTATTGTCCCTCTCTCAGTACCTGTGAAGTACCGAGATAACATGTTTTCCCTGGGATAACTCAGGCCAACAGCTAACTGTTATCAAGCTGCATATGTCAAACCTGAGTCAAAGCCCAAGACAAGATCAACTAGATCAGCGGTTCCCAAACTGGTATGCATACCAGTAGTGGTATGCAGACACCCTGCAAGTGATACGTGGAAGGCTAGGGGGAAGGGTGGGGCATACACACACATAGACACCAGCTCAGCCTGCTGCAGGCAGCCAGAAGCACAGCCCGGCCATGTGTGCAGCAGTGCCCAGAAGGTAAGTGTATTGTGGGGAAAGGTCAGAGTCAGACTGAGGCCCCCATGGTGAGGGAGGGAGTGGGGCAGGGGTGAGTTGGGGCGGGGATGGTAGGAGCCCCAGGCAGCTTGTCCAGGGGCATGGGGGGAGGGTGGCTCCTGCCCCTGTGTGCACCCCAAGGTAAGCACAAGGGAGCATCTGCCCCCCAGATTTGTGTGTGGGGTGGGAGCAGGCTGCCATTGCCCTCATGGCTGTGTGCGATGCCATGTGCCTTCTGTGCAGTGGCTGGCCAGTGGTGGAAGGCACATGGTGCCGTGTGTGACTCGAGGCACAGAGCCCAGCAGCAGCACCTCTGCCCTGCACATAAATCCAGGGAGCAGCTGGTCCCCATGTCTACCCCAGGCTGTGCACAGTGGCGGGGCCCCGCACACCCCTGGAAAGGTCCAGGTAACCCTGGGAAGGGCCATGGTGGGCAGGCAGGTGGGGGTGCACAGCGGCATCTGAAGTGGGACCTGGCTGGGCCCACACAGCTCCGCGAGGGGATGCCGCCAGGCTGAGCCAAGATGTCAGGCTTGAGGAGGGGTTTGGCTCTGGGCTCGGCTTCCCTGTGTGCTGGGCACAGTGTGAGTGGGACAGAGCCACGCTCGCTTCAAGGGCCTGGCCACAGGAGCTCCTGGAAACAGCTGGTGCAGCTACCCCAGCTTGCCTGAGCCCCGGCCTTGCCCAACCACAGCTCCCCTCAAGGGGCCAGGGCAGGTACTGTGCAGGGCCACTGCATTGCAGGCTCCCAACCAGCTCAGCTCTGAGCACTGCCTGAGGTGGTAATTCTGAGCCCAGGAAGTCCCTGCTGCAGCCCAGGGAGCTCCACCCTGCTCACACTACGCCCAACGTACACAGGCTAAACCAGAAGCCCCCCTGAGCCCAGCGTCCTGCCCCAGCCAGGTGGTGTTCCCCTGTGGGCAGGGCAGGGCGGCTGCACCCCACCCCTGTGGAGCTGTGTAGCCTGGGCCAGGCCCCACTGGAGCACCTCTCTGTGCCTGAGTCTGTGGAGCCCTGGGGCAGCTGCCACTCCCCACCCAGTCCCTGCTGTCCTCCAGCTGCTGTTTTTCAAGGGCCTGGCCAGGCTAGCCTGCCCACGGCACCTCCCCCACCTCTGCTTCTCCCCACACCTCTCTTTTGTCTCCTTCTCTCTCTCTCAGGTTTGGAAGAGAACTCAGAAGGTCTAGTCCAACCCCCTGCTCAAAGCAGGACTGTCCCTGTCACTTGTAGGTGTTATAGGGTTTTGGCCCCTTTTTGGTTGGTGCCTTGCCCCCCAGTGACGTCAGGGTGACATCAGGTTTTGGTGCCACCTAGATGGGTCGGGTGCTTCCCCTTTTCGCTTGCCACGTCTTTGATGTTCGTTGTTGGGGAGGCAGGTAGCCCAAGGGGGTCTTGGCCCTGGGCTGTCTTCATGGGGCTCCAAACCTCCCCTTTACCCCACTCTTACCATGTCCTCGGGCTGGGTAGATGCTGCTTACCGCAGGTCTTCCCCTGGATGATTTCACCTCATCCACACTGCCCACCTCAAAAGGGTCGGGTCTTCTTGGCCATCAGTCTTTCCAGGTCACCCCCCTCGGGCAACTAAACCTGCCCCATCCAGGGCTAGACTGTAACTGAAGAAAACTTAACTGAAAAATGACTGGCATCTGCCAGCAGGCTCCTGAGATTCTGTCTCTCTGGGCCCTTGGTCCCCTGGGGGACTTGTCCGTCTCTTTTACCCTCGTAGGTGTGGGGACAGGCAACTGCCCTGTGCCCAACCTCCGCCAGCTCTTCCAGCATGACCTCCCTGGGGCCTGGCTGACCTGTGATCAAGCTGTCCTGGTCCCACCCAGGGGTCTGTGATCCCCTGTGCTCTGCTCACTGCAGGGCTTCCCAGGGATGCCTGCGGTCCTGAGGGGCCGTCCCTAGCCACAGAATCTGAGCTCCTGGTCAGAGCCCCACTGTTCCCCTGCAGCATCTCATGAGGCTGCTGCTCCCTGGTGGGGCTCCCTTGCCCGTCGGCTCCCAAGGCTGCTCTCTGTCTTGCTTGTCTGGGTCCTCCAGCGGCACCCAGCTCCTTCTCCTGGCATCTGGGGTTTGAGCTTTCTGGCTCCACAGCCGGTGTTTCCTGACTGGCATTCCACTCCCCGGTGCTGGCACAGCTGGATCTCTGGCTGCCTTTTGAGCAACCCACGCTTCTTGGGAGCCACAGCCCCGGTGTTCACTGATATGCAGACTCAGGCAGCTGCGGAACTGCCAAGCCTATGCTGGCGTTTCCTTTTGGCTGCCGCTCATCCTGGCTTCTATGGTGAGTATTGGAGTGCATTGGGCAAGGGTTTGGGATGCAGTGGGGGGGCTTTTACCTCCCCTCTCACAATCCCCAACTAGATTATCCCAGTCAAGGCTTTGACTTACCTGGGTCTTAAAAACCTCCAAGGATGAAGAGTGCACAACCTTTCTGGCTAACCTCTTCCAGTGTTGTACTACCCTCCCAATGAGAAAGTTATTCCTAATATATAACCTAAACTTCCCTTGCTGCAACTTGAGACCATTGCTCCTTGGTTTGTCATCTGCCACCACTGGGCGTGTAGATAAAATTAAATTTCCCATTTACGTCAACGCAACTGCGTTTGTGTTTGCACGACCCAGAATTTCCCGCCACTTTAAAGTCCATTTAGCACCTTAAACTAACGCTACTCAGAGATATTTTAATTTGTGGTGCTTTCCAGTTATGCCACTCCAACTGTGGATTTTGTTTCTGCAAACAGCCAGGGACTCCAAAGTCTTCTAATGAATCCCCTTCACCACAAGGGGGCACTGTGTTCCAGCCTCTAGCCAGTAGGTGCTGCTGTGTGTTCTTTTTTACCCTCCTTCACTCCTCCCTCCTCCTTCACAGCATACAGTTCAGGTTGGGACGGGTCTGTTCAGACCAATTATTATTATTTTAAAATGGGGGAGAGAAATAATCCATTAATTTTCTACCCCCTCTTAATTCTTTGGGCCCCCCACTACCTATAGTGTATTTCCTCCCCCCCCCCCCCCCCCCAACCCATGTACCCTCCTGTCCTCCTGTCCCCCCCATGTACCTTCCACCTGTGACCCCTGCACCCTCCATCGTGTGCTGTTACTGCAGTGGCCATAGCTCCCGATGACAGCTACAGCATCACCATAATGGTAAGTTTTTTGCAAGTAGTTTGAAACTTTGGCGTGAGTGGTTACATGACTTCCTTCAATATTGCAGACCTTCTGAACTTCATCACATTCCATTTCAGAACCACGACCAAAAGTCCAAGGGCAGCAGGATGCTGCCTGCCGGACCCGACACCCAGGGTATGTAGCATCCTGGGTGATATTTAGGTAGTATGTCCTACCAACCTTGTGCAGGGGGGGTGGACAAAAGTCTGGGTTTTCAACTGTGCACCAAACCCCGCTCTTCTCCCTCTTCTTCCTTTCCTCCCCTCCTTGCAGAGAACTTTCATGGGCGGAACTCGCTGGGGCCAGCAACCAGCCCACAGCCCAGTGATGAGACAGCAGAGTGAAGATAGTGAAGAGGAGTAAAGTGAAAATATCTTCTTTTTTTTTTTTAACGTTTTGTATATAGTTTATATTGTTAAGTTGTATATAGTTATTGTTAAAGCTGCAGCGTTTTCAGTAAAGTGTTTTATTTTTGCTCTATATAAGTATCATGTTTTCTCTGAGGTGAGTGGATGGCTGGGTTGGTTTTTGGAGACTGTGCCTGCCTCAGCATGGTGGGGATGCTGTGCTTGGGGGGGTTTTATGGAGTCATGGCATTACTGGAAAGAGTTGTGAAGAGAACAGTCCACCCTGCAAACTGGAGGGAGGGAGGTGGAATGCTTGTTAAGTGTTAGCTAGGGTATGGTGCAGCCAGCATGTCTTGTAAGAAAAAAGACTAAACAACACCTCCAGCAGCAAGCAGGCAATCTGCAAAACTTCTCCATGCATGGACCTCCAAGGGCCTTTAGCCTTTAGCAAGTCGTTAAAAACTTTAGTAAGTCTGCATTATAATGCATTTGATGTGCACGGTCGGGAGTGGGGGGTTGTTGGGGTTAACGCCTGCTGCCGCAGCTCCAAAACAGCTTCTTTTTTTCTCTGTAGGCTGTACTGTTATGGGAGATGCAATGCAAAAAAAAATTTTTTCCAATGCTTTCTTTGCAATGCAATGTTTTCTTTACAAAATCCTGTATGCAGCACCTTTCAGAGCCAGGTTTTCAGATCCCTACCCCCGCCCCGGTCCACTGCAATCTGCTCCACCCCTGCAGAGATCTCATCAGATTTTGTTCAGGATTGCTCTGTCTTCCCTTGCCATATCTCTCCTCTCATCCTTCTCAAAGGACATGGAGAAGGTAAGAGGGAAATGAGAAGCAGCACTCCCAAGGCAGCACAGGGTAATCTCTTTAGCTATCTCTAGGTCTCTCCAGAATCAAGAGTATTCAAAAGAAAACATAATTGTGGGAGAATTTATTTTCATCCAAATTCAAGAAATTTGTTATACCTCCTTTTCCTACGCTAGGTATTGGCATGTCCTCATCAGATGGGTCTCAGACTAAGCAGGGAGCTGCTACTTAGCCAGACACTGCTCTCCACACTGCCGGGCTACACTCCTGTCTGCCTTTGTACTGCTCTGTGGCTGCATGCACGCACAGGGCATTTATCAGCAACATCAGCCAAAAAAAGCCAATTGCCAGTAATGTCAATTTTCCTTATATCATTGCCAATAAAATATGGGACTGATGTATCAGTGTACTTCTAGAAAATTTGCCTTTTTTCCATTGTTCCATGGTAAACAGGAAACCCAGATCCCTGCTAATCACCTTCTTCTCCAAGTGCTTGGAAATGGATTCCTTGAGGATCTGCTCCATGATTTTTCCAGGGACTGAGGTGAGGCTGACTGGTCTGTAGTTCCCTGGATCCTCCTTTTCCCTCTTTCTTAAATATGGCCACTATGCTTGGCCTTTTCCAGTTATCTGGGTCCTCTACCAATCACCATGAGTTTTCAAAGATGATGGCCAATGGCTTTGCAATCACATCAGCCAACTCCCTCAGCACCCTCAGGTGCATCCCATCTGGCCGCATGGACTTGTATATGTCCAGCTTTTCTAAATAGTCCCTAACCTGTTCTTTTGTCCCTATTGGCTGTTCACGTCCTCCCCAAACTGTGCTGCCTGGTGCAGTAGTCTGGGAGCTGACCTTGCCTGTGAAGACAGAGGTGAAAAAGGCATTGAGTACTTCAGCCTTTGCTGCATCCTGTGTCACTAAGTTCCCTTCTCCATTCAGTAAGGGACCCACACTTTCCCTGATAGCTGCAGCTCCAATTGCACTTTGACCTTCCTGACTTCATCTTTGTGCATGAACATCTGGTGCCACCTTAATCAGGGTGGGCATGTGCCCCACCAGCAACCGGGGTGGGGTGTGTCACCCGTGGCCAATCTTGTCGACCAGGGAGAGACCCCCCCCATGGCAAAAATTACCAACTGGTGAGTGCAGACACTGCTCCTGAAAGTGGCTGCAGTGCTCCCAGAAGTGGCTGTGGCACTTCCAGAAGTGGCCACGGCCCACATCTGGCATTTCCACTCCCCAGCCAGTGCTCGCAGGGGGACACTGGTGCTCCCGCTTGCCCCCCCTGCCCATCGCTGAAGCAGGGAGCACAGCCAGTCAGGGGGTGCACCAGCGCATTCAGGGGGTGCACATTCACCCTCCTGCACCCTGCTACGCATCGCCACTGTCTCTACATGCACAAGAAATACTCTTATATTCTCCTCCATAGTTATTTGTCCAAGTTTCCACTTTTTATAAGCTTCCTTTTTGTGTTTTAGTTTACTGAAGAGTTCCCTGCTAAGCCAAGCTGGTCTTCTGCCATACTTGCTAGTCTTCCTGCACATTAGGATGGTTTGTTCCTGCACTCTTAGTAAGACTTCTTTAAAGTACAGCCAGCTCTCCTGGACTCTTCTCCCCCTCAGACTGGCTTCCCAGGGGATCCTGCCCAAGTCAAAGTTTGCTTTTCTGAAATCCAGGGTCCTTACTCTGTTGCTCTCTGTCCATCCTTTTCTCAGAATCCTGAAATCAATCATCTCTTGGTCACAGCTACCCAAGTTGCCATCCCCTACTACATTCCCCACCAATTCTTCCCTGTTTGTGAGCAGCAGGTCAAGAAGAGCACAGCTCTTATTTGGCTGGTTCAGCACTTGTACCAGGAAGTTGTCCCCAATACTCTCCAAAAACTTCCTGGATTGCGTGCACAGATGTTAGGGTGATTGAAGTACCCCATGAGAACCGGGACCTGTGATCAGGAAACTTCTAACTGTTTGAAAAAAGCCTCTTCTACCACTTCCTCCTGGTTTGGTGGCCTATAGCAGACCCCCACCATGATATCACCTTGTTGTTCTCCCCTCTGACCCTAGCCCAGAGACTTTCAAGATGCTATCTCTATTTTCATACTGGAGCTCTGAACTATCATATGGCTCTTTTACATGAAGGACAACTCCTCCTCCTCTTCTCCCCTGCCTGTTCTTCCTGAACAGTTTGTACCTATCCATGACAGTGCTCCTGTCATGTGAGCTCCCACCAAGCCCAATCATGTCATAGTTCCTGGACTGTGCAAGGACTTCCAATTCTTCCTGTTTGTTTCCCAGGCTCTGTGCGTTTGTGTACAGGCACCTGAGGTAACTAGTCGATTGCCCTGATTTCTCAGGTAGAATGAGAACACCTCCCCTGTTGCCCCCTCCTGCTTGTACTTCCTCCAGGTCACCCACTTCCCCACTTACCTCAGGGCTTTGATTTCCATCCCCTGGCGAACCTAGTTTAAAGCCCTGCTCACTATGTTAGTGAGCCTATCTGCAAAGATGCTCTTCCCTCTTTGTCAGGTGGATCCTGTCTCTTCCTAGCAATCCTTCTTGGAACATCATCCCATGGTCAAACAAGCCAAAGCCCTCCTGGTGCCTGCTTAGCCAGCCATTCATCTGCAGGATGCACATGCTCCTGCCTGGATGGACCCTTCCCCTTGACCAGAAGGATTGAAGAGAACACCACCTGAGCTCTCATCCCCTTTACCCTTGCAGCCAGAGCCCTGTAGTCACTTTTGATTTGCTCAGGGTCTCCCCTAGTAGTATCATTGGTGCCCATATGGATAAGTAGCATAGGGTAGTAGTCAGAGAGTTGGATGAGTCTCAGTAATCCCTCCATGAAATCACTGATCCAGGCTGCAGGCAAGCAGTAGACTTCCCAAGACAACAGGTCAGGTCAGCAGATGGATCCCTCCGTTCACCACAGAAGGGAGTCTCCAACCATCACCACCCATCACTTCTTGGTGGCAGTTGTCTCTGTCCTTCCCACCCTGGGGAGGCCTGGCCTGTCCTCCTCCCCCAGTGGAACATGCTCCTCGCCCTCTGTTCCTAGGGCTGCATATCTGTTCTTCAGACAAACTGCTGCAGGTGGAGGTGAAGATTTCTGCTGGCTGCCAGACATCACAAGCTTTCAGCTTCCACTTTCCTGGGAGTCCATGTCCTCTCCCTTCTTTAACACTGCCTCTGGTAGTTCTTCCTTCACAGCCCAGGAGGTCTCCTCCAGCATTGAATCAGTGAACTCCTCATGGTGGAGGATGCTTCAGAGCCTGACCACCTCCTCCTATAGCTTTCTTGCCTGTTCCCTGAGAGACACCACCGCTCACACTGCAGGTTCTCCCCCACCTGGCCGGCACCAGAAGGAACCTGCAAGCCGCAGTCCCCACAGCACCAAACCTGGACCTGGGTGGAAGCCTTGATGGTGAGTGGTCCTGCCTGGACAGAAACCTCACAGGTGCAAGCAGTGGCAGTGGCTCTAGCATTGCAACATCATCCAGCCACTTCCCTGGGTCTCTTAATCTGTCTCTTTTCTCTTGCTGTCATTCTTCCAAGCACACCTTCCCTAGCAAACTTGCCTGAAAGCTGGCCTATTTACTGTTCCTTGGCCCCAAAGGGTTCATTTTCCCTGCTTCCTCACAACAAACTGAAAGGCTCTCCCCTCAAATGGGGCATGGGGGCAAACTGACCTGCAAACTGCTTGCCCTGTTTGCTGCCCCTGTTCCTTTGCTTCCTGGTCACTCAGGGAGTCTCCTTTTATACCTTGCTGGGCCTGGACTGGCTCTGCCCCCTCATTAGGGGTTCTGTCAGGCACAGGCAGCAATCACTCAGCTAGTAACGCTATTTTTCGTGTGTCTGCCCTAAAAAGTGGGTTGCAAGAATGTATGAAAGGGTCACAAGCAAACTTTAAAAATAGATTCTCCTTTAAAGGAGAAAACCATGGTAAAATGTGGTTTCTCCTTGCACGCTGACAGAGTACCAGAGTTGCTTGGGGCTTGGGGGAGTTGAAGGAGGGCGACCAGGCAGGGGATGCCATGTGCGTGTGCACGTGCACACATGCATGTGGCAGCCAGGCAGCCTGGAGAGCAGCTCCCACAGCTCCCCACAGGTAAGTCTATGGGGCAGGGGGGACAAGCGATGCATTGGGGGGAATAGGGGGCACATGTGCCCCCAGATT